TCCGGCCTGCCCGCTGCGGCCGGGCCGGGCCGCGGCGCGGGGGGCCTGCACGTCCTGCCCGCACCGGGCCCCGGGAGCGGTCATGGCGCTCGGTTCGCGCCCTAGGCCTTATCTGCCCCAAACACACACCGAACCGCCCAGCGATAGGGGGAGGTTTCCTATTTTCATTCCTTTTTTTTTTTTTTTTTAAACACAGCGCATAGTGAGCGTGCATAAAATGCCCCCAGTAACTTAAATAGGGTATTTGGGGCTTGCTTTTCTGGTTATAATTCTTTATTCCTATGGCTTAGATTCTGCCTTGGTAAGGGGACTGGGTGGGAAGTCTGTAAACTACTTCTCAGGCATCCCCGGTCCTTACCAGAAAAGGTTTTAAAAATGGCTTGCCACCCCGTTTAGTTTTTGTTAAGCAGCAGTCGCTTTCTGCTCTCAGAAAAAAATGTAGTGGTTCTCTGTCTTAGAAAGCTTTAGGGGCCACAGAGTAGGTCTCACGTAGGCAGTGCTAAAAGTATTCTGCTTGTTTGGTGCTGACTCACAGGTTTGGTTGTTAAAGTTTCAGGCAGGCAAGAGAGAGGGTTGTTCTTAGAGGCTCCTAGTTAAATGAAGAACGTATAGGTCATCTGAGGTGAAAACTAGAGATGGGTTGGGCTATTTTGTATTTTTTCAGCTATCTGGGTAGCCAGAAAAAGGGAAGCTCATGGGACAACTAGATATCATTCCTCAGCTAATGAACAGCTGTAGGTATGTCAGTGGAAAAGGTTAATATCAAATGCTAGTACTGAAATATTCAGTATTGAATAATAAATTTGCTGTGTCACGCTTGAGAGTAAATAATAAGGTAAAACAGAGCCTAAACAGAGCCTAAAAATAAAATTTGGAATAATTTAGGGGCTAAATTGTGTTAGAATAGACAGGTAAAACACTTCAGGAAATATATATCAATCTGATAATCATTTGCAGTTTGGTATTCAGAAGTTCTTAATCAGCTTGTGGGACCTCTGGAATTCATGGTACAGAGTTTGTAAAGGCAAAATAAATTCATGCTTATTGAAACATCAGATGTATTGATGCTTTTTGTTTTCGCTTGCCTTTCTTTTTAGTACAAATGTTATGGCTTTTTTGTTCTGTATCCCTTGGCAACATAGAGGTCTTTTTGCAGAACAGCTACTTGAGTGGGAAGAGTCTTGATATGACAGATTTGAAAGCAGATAGTTATCAACGCTGTGGGATTTTTGTTTGTTTGTTTGTTTTTTTGGAAGAAACAGAAGAATGTTCTAACATAAGATTTTCAAAAATTGTTCATGTTCTGTAGGACAGTTACCTGTGTAAAGTAGAGTATGTTCCTATGTATTAGACCGGTGAACAGCTTTAAATGTGGTATCTTGAGCCTATGGTTGGGAAATAGGTGTGATCTTGCTCTGCAGTCTGAACTAACCCATTTGGAAACAGTAATGCTCTAGGAAGACATGTGCCTGGGCTAGTTGGGACCATGTCCAACTGGAGTTAGTGTGGAATTTGTACTTTAAAGCCAAATGACTTTTCATCTTTCTGTATCTTCTATATAAAACGTCGAGTTGTATAGCACTAGGCAAAATGGAGTTTGTATTTTGTGTGCTTCTGTTTACTGTTGGTATATCGTTTCTACAAATTCTTTACCTAGTGATAACAAACGCTCTGCATAAGGTGTATTAATGTAACAATTGTATTGTTTCTAAAAAGGCATTGACTTTGTCAGTCATATGTGTTTGTTAGAAGTTATCCTGCAGTAAGTCTCTTCCCAATAAAACTATTAAAAAAAAAGGCATGTAATAAGGACAAGGTTAATCAGATTTCGGTGAGGAAAGTTTTTGCAGATTTGTCAATCTCTGCTCCTACAATCAAGTTCGTGCTTTCTCCTGTGCTCTTTTCTACGCCTAATATTTGTCATGAACTGTTGTTTCAGCAATCTGAAAGAGATAACTCAGTGAACAGATGGATCTGGATCTGGCTATGTAGTATATGTTCTTTTCTTTCATGGAATAAATTCTTTTGTCTTCTCTGTTCTTCATACTTTTAAGAGTTCTGTGTTT